ATGTTGGTGGGAGTGGCAGGAGAAGAATACTACACGGTTCCAGTTTTGGCGATTTGATTGGTTCCCCTTCCTTCCTGTTCCTCCCACCCCGCCCACCCCACCACCACAGGTCACTGTAGTTTTGAGACAAGGGCCGGGGAGAAGTTCAAGGGCAGAAAATAAGCCAGGAGAGTCTCTTTCCAACAAATACTCTATTGAAAGGGTTGATAATGGGGTACTGTGGGTAAAGCGAGGTAGCAGACCAGGTGTTTGTATCTGCAAGCTCTCATATTCTCATGGATTCCACCCTGGAGCTTCAGGAACTCTGTGAAATGTGCCACGGTTTAGCTCCCTCTGGGATAAAAGGGGTGAGCAGATACACGTTACAATTTTCACTTACAAATTGCCACCTGGAATCCAGACTTTGTCTGCAGTGACCAGAGGGCAGAGCTGAGCGGGGCTTCCAAGATGATGTACAGATGGTGGCTCTGGCCACAGTGCTGTGCGGATGGGGTCTTTGCTGCCTGCCCAGCATCTATCTTCCAACTGAAAATAGATAAAAGAAACCCTGATAAAAACCAACATCAATGGATTCTCTTAAAAAGAAAGCAAATATGCTTAAAGTATTAGCACACTGGATCTATGTGTCGTTTCACATTATATGACCACATGAGGAATTTGTGTGGAGGGGCAGGAGAGAGTTCTAAGACATTTGATAGGGAGGCTTGAGTGTTGGGGGTGGGGAGGGGCCCTGGACACCTCACTTATTGTCTGACAGGATCTCCTTGGAGCCACAGGAATTTTAAGGACTTTAAAGAAGGGAAGATTGGTTACCCTCTGGAGAGCATGCTGAAGATGTAAATGGTTACCTGGTGAAATGGTTGCTCTTAACACGGAAGGGGAAATTCTGTTTTGATCTAAGAGTCATGTAGAAATGTATCTAATGTGAAATTTGTGAAATTTTGAATGAGGCTTGTAATACAGTTCTTGTGAGGCTCACACCTTTGCTTTAATTGTTGTTTAAGATTAATTATTGTTAGGATTCTTTTATAGGGTCTTTTTTGGGAAACTCAAACAGCATTATCATGTTCCGTTCACATTTGGAAACCTAAGGCGCCCAGAAGGCTTATCTTGGGATCACACATAGGTGGCCATCTGTGCTGGTTTGCCAGGGACAGTCGTGGTTTCTTATTGTCCAGTTGGAATTATTAATAGAGTCTCCTTTCCCTCTCACAAATGTCTGTTTTATCCTTAAGTATAAAGTCTCCCTAACCACCTGACACACTGCTGTCAAAACTAGGATTGGAGATCCTGCATTTCACATGCGTCAGATCATCCACTTAAGCAAATGTTATCCCAGTTGTTAAAAATCCTTTATTTCTGACTTACAGGGCACCATACCATAGCAGCCTGTCTTTCAGAAACAGTTAATGTGAAACACATCAAACATGAGGCCTCTCGTTGAAACGCTTTCGTTGACTTCTTTGTTTTTTTACTTTATTTTGTCCTGTTTGGCTCTCACAGTTATGAATGCCTTTGAAAAGTACATTTTAAGGACTTCAGCAAGCATTAATTATTTCTTTTGTGTCCTGATGTCAAGTCATTTGCAACTATCTCGTTCTTAACAGCATTTAAAATAAAAAAGAATTAAATATATGTCAGGGCAATTCCACTTACTCTTGGTTCTTGTGATGATTTCGCCCTTGAAAAACTCACATAGGCCGGGCGCGAGAGCTCACACCTGTAATCCCGGCACTTTGGGTGGCTGAGGCAGTCAGATCACTTCAGGTCAGGAGTTTGAGATCAGCCTGGCCAATGTGGTGAAATCCCAACTCTATTAAAAATACAAAAAAAAAAAAAAAATGAGCCAGCCACGGTGGTGGGTGCCTGTAATCCCAGCTACTCGGGAGGCTGAAGCAGGAGAATCACTTGAACCCGCAAGGCAGAGGTTGCAGTGAGCCATTGCACTCCAGCCTGGGCGACAAGAGCAAAACTTGGCCTCAAAAAAAAAAAAAAAAAAAAAGAAAAACTTACATAAAGGAAGTTGACATGCTTTCCACAACCCTGTAATTAAACTGGCCTGCTGAGAAATCATATGCAATTGTTTACGATGTTTGTGATTAATTCTCTTCATGGTGGATGCCATTTATGTTGCATTATCAACATCAATAATGGTCCAGTTGTGCAACAAGTTAGCTATGACTGCAGATCACCATTTGTCTTTATATATAGTACTCTTTCATCTCATCACTTGTCTTTCCTTTTAAATGACACTTGTTTTATGTGGTAGCTCATTTCGAGTCATGAATTGCAACATGTGGAAACACTAACCAAGAAATGGTCTTGCATCTTTCCCTGTTAACAGAAATCGAGTTGAAAACTTAGCCTCCTGGTGTTATTCTAGTTCTCTATATGACTGGAGGAAAATCAGATTTCAAGTTCTTCCTGCTTTCCTTATGCCTTTTGCAGCAAATTTCAAAGTATAGCAGTAGGCAGATCGCATTGTAATAGCAATTTTTAACCAGAAATTAAATTAAGCCAGAAAGAAATACAACTACCTCTAGTTCAAATAGTGTTTCTTCCAGAAAGAAGAACATCTCCACAGTAACAGCAGTGACAATAAGAATATTTTCATGAAGATCAGAATTAGCAAGTTTATCAGATTGCAGAATACAGCTACTGTTTTCCAGAGAAACTGACAATCAGTGCTAACTTGTTAGGAGAGTCTCTGTGCTTTGGAGAAAGATATGGAGTAGTCGGTGCAAGAGCAAATAGAGTGCCTTCTAAATTGTTTTCAGTTCCTCTTGTTAAGGAGGAAGGAAAGGCCAGTATGTAATCCAATAGAAGCCTTTCCCTGGAGAATGGTCAGAAAGCTTGATCATTCAAAAGAACGTATTTTACTGTAAATACATGTCTGGATTTCATGGTTCTTAATCATTTTTGTTAATTCTCTTTCCCCTAATGCCTTTTTCTCTTGTGCATGTAACAGAGACTTCTGCTTCCTGGAATATCAGCAGAGACAGCAGGTGGCTTGGCCCATATCGGGGAGGGGAGGGTCCTGGCAGCTGGAACGCGAGCTCAGCTGATGACCAAGGGGTTTCCTTGGGCTGCCTGGAAAATGGTCGTTCAGACCTGGTGAGAGACATTCCCCTATTTTTGTCCATCTAGGGGTCAACAGAGGCCTGAAAGACTGCTCTGACACTTTCCAAACAGCCCCCAGGGAATCATAATCAGTATCTGCCAATGGATCTTTTCTGCCTGGGTTGAGTGAGCAGGGAGAGCCAGGGGGCAGCGTGCTGTTTGTGGCTGCCAACTCCCATGTCATCCCTGTGCCGCTTCCTTCATCCTGGGGTTTTTGCCTCTGTGAGCTACATCAAATAGCAGGTAGGGGCTGCTAAGGGTGGGCTCTCTGCACACCAAAGCAAGTGGGTTGGGGTCAGAACTCAAGGCTGAGGGACACCTGATTTGGGCTGCTGCCTCTGCTGCTGCAATGTTTTCTCTCTCTCTCAATCTCTCTCTCTCCTCTCTCCTTTCTCGCTTTCTTTCTCTTTCTCTCTCTCATCTTTCTCCTGCCCTCCTCCCCACTCTTCCTGGCCTTAGTACTTTAAAGGCAAACACACAACAGTAGACAAGAATAAGGATGATCCAGAGCTGAAACGCTGAACACGGGGGCCCTCCTTCATGAACATTTTGCACCTAAGGAAATAGTAAGGTTAAAACTAGATTCATCTGGCCTTTGCCCAGGGGCCATCGGGAAAGAAACTGTGTAAGACTGGTTCCTCCTTAAAGCAAGATTGCCAGTAATTCTGTTGTAAAGTCCTAGAGACCTTAAGTTATCTGCCCTGCAAACCCCACTGGCTCTATTCAGGCTGCCAAGATTCACTGCATCTTGGATTTCAAGAAAAATCCAGTTAGGAATTGAGGGGGCTCTCTTCTTCCCCTCTGATGTGAGTGTAACTCACTTCCTGGTCTGTCTCCTTTCCTTTCGGTCCACATCCTTTGTCTGCTAGGTGCTTCTACCTCCTTATGTCTTAAATAGCCAAAATACGTCACCCCACTGTCAAAACACACAGGTCACTCCAGGTCATAATCTGGAACATAGGCTGGCCATTGTTCTGCACACATTCTTGATCTAAATCAATCTCAAGCCTTGCTGGAATGCCCTGTAAACTGGGGCAAGGTATGGTCACCAGACTAACCACTGTCCTTTTTTCACCCCTGCAATGATGGGCTGCTACAGCTTACAATGTGACACTCTTCCTCCCAGCTACCGTGTTACTCTGAGGTATCTGACATCGCAGAGCTAATGTTGCCTAGATTAATTTCCCATCTTTTTTTTTTTTTTTTTTTGCGGACATCATGCCTCCTATTTTCACTCTCTGGGAAATCTGCCAGTTTTTCAAGGACTGGGTAAAGAACAAAATAAATATTTGTAGGTGGTTTAAAAGGAGAGGTATGTTGGCTATAACTCTGCCCATCCGAAGAAATGTATTTTCACTGTCTTTCTTCACTGTATTGAAGTCGTTAACTGGGAGAGCTTCAGAAGGGTTGACTTTAGTAGTTTACCTTTGAGATTTGTAATCAAGGGGTGAGAGAAAGAGAGAGAGAGAGAGAGAGAGAGAGAGAGAGTGTGTGTGTGTTCGGGGAGGGAGGAGTCTGAGAAAGTGAGGCAAGTAAGTAGAAACTTTTTTTTAAAAAGTCCAGATTAAGTGATTGAAATCGACTGTGTGGAAATGACACTCTACCTCTTCATAGATGTTAATTGGACCCGGAAAAGTTAGTGCCAGAAAGTACTTGCTTACCACACTCAGCATATATTATCTTTCAAATTGTTTGGGATTTTTGTTTTGAAGGGAGTTCACTGAAATTTGGGAGGTTCAACAGGTTGCTGTTTCTTAATATGTGGATCACCCCATTTGGGAGGCTCATTCTCCCTCTGAGATTAAAGAGGCCAGGGCAGTGGCTCCCAGCAAAGGCTCCCGGCCTTAATCATGTGTGAAATGTTTTCCTTCCTCGGCTGCAGAGCCTGGGTGATTTGCAGCGGTGGAACCAGGCAGGCTGAGTCTCCGGTAGGAGAGGCCGTCACCTGTTGGGGCCTCTCCCCCCGCAGCGCAGCGCGGGCCCTGCCAGGCAGAGCCCAGCCCCCAGTCCCCAGGGAGCGCGCCTGCGGACGGACAGACGGACAGACCTAGGGACCGAGGGCCAGGGCCAGGGGGAGATCCAGGAGGCCCGGCGCTGGAATGCAGTTTTCTCGGGCAAGGGAGACTTTGCACCGCAGTGGAAAATAGTTTGGGGTGGGGTTTCGCACCGTCCCCTCCTCCCCAGCCCCGGGCCCCTTCCCAGGCGCTTTCTGGGAGCTTTTAGAACTGCGCTCTGAAGTTTCCAGAGAGCGAGGAGCTTGTGCGGCAGACAGAGACAATGGAAGAAAATGAAAGCCAGAAATGTGAGCCCTGCCTTTCTTACTCAGCAGACAGCAGACAGATGCAGAGTAAGTAACAGACCCATTCAAAGATGGAGTTACGGGGACGCGTGCCCCTTGCAGCTTGCTGCTTTTTATAAACTGCAGCCCTGGGACCCCGCAAAGGGGGGAAAAAAAGAGGCGATTTATCGGGGTGGCGAGTCGAGAATAGAGAACTGTGATTTCTTAGGCTTGACTTTATCTCTGGCATGATTTTCTTAAACAGCAAGCGAGGTGGTGGGGTGATGTCACATTCACAGCACAGTGAGCCATCAGTATGCGCTGTATCTCTAAGCAATGACAAATAAATCACTAAGCAGCTTTTAATCATTTCCCCCGGGCTTCAGCCATGGGAGAAAGGAGCTGTTTTTGCGAAACTGTCTCTAGCACGGCAGCTTCTATTCATTGGTTGGGGGATTCCATGTGGCAGATGCATGCTGGCTGCAAAGTTTTAGAGTTAAATCGCAGAAACCAGGCATGTTTTATTTTACAGATCCGAGCAGCTGGGGAGGGCTTGAGCAGCTGGGTGATAGACAGAATTCTAGATCTTCTTTTATGTTTTAATTCAAAACTTGGGAGTTGTTGGACAATTCTGGTCAATTTTCTCCAGGCGGTTTCCTTTTAATTATGTTTATAATAGACTTGTCTTTTCCGTAGGGAATTTCCAGAAGCTTATGTTGTTCCAAAGAAATTTCGAAGAGTGATTGGGTGGCCAGAAGAGGTCCCTGCTCTCTGGCATCTGACGCCTGTGATGCCAGGAGCCGAGCCTGTGGGATCCCATAGGCAGCATGTTCATGAACGCACAGCCCTGTACCGCCCGCCCCGCCCTTCCTCAGGTTCATGCAGGGGCCAGTACACAACAAAAAGACGTGCGGGGGTGCAGGGCTGTGCGTGGGAGTGGGGATTATGCACAGGGGAAAAGGTGTGTGTTTTATGAAAATGTGAAAGGGAAGTAACACATGACTCATCCATGCTGAAAATGCAAAACTGAGCCAGACAGGAGAACAGACAATGACAAGAGATAGAAATCCCCCAGTGAAATGCGGAAAACTTGAAGTTTGGTAGTGGCTGGAGAATTCCTGAGTCGGAACAGTCATCTGCTGAGGTGTCTGCGTTCGTGCTGCCAAAGCACTGCACTCTCCTTGAGGCTGCCAGGGTCAGTGGCATCCAGTGGGAGATCAGGCGACCTCATCCCCACCCCGGCCCCCGCAAGGCCCCACATTTTTGACTACAGGATCCTACTGCAGGAATTCAACCCCTGGGCCTGTCCTGTAAGAAATGACCCAGAATCTAGAGGGGCCGTTAGAAAGGGATCCATCTATTTAAGAAATGACTTTCTAGCCGGGTGTGGTGGCTCACAGCTGTAATCCCAGCACTTTGGGAGGCGTAGGCGGGCATATCACGAGGTCAGGAGATCTAGACCATTCTGGCTAACATGGTGAAACACCATCTCTACTAAAATTACAAAAAATTAGCCGGGCATAGTGGCACGTTCCTGTAGTCCCAGCTGCTCCAGAGGCTGAGGCAGGAGAATTGCTCGAACCTGGGAGGTGGAGGTTGCAGCGAGCCAAGATCGTGCCATTGCACTGCAGCCTGGGTGACAGAGGGAGACCCCATCAGAAGGAAGGAAGGAAGGACGGAAGGAGGGAAAGGATGGAAAGAACGGAAAAGACGGAAAGGAGAGAAAGGAGGGAAGGAGGGAAGGGGAAGGGGAGGAAAGGAGGAAAGGAAAGAAAAGACTTGCCAACAATCACAGCAATTCAGAGGCTTCGGAGGCTAGGGTGGTCAGTCTGAGACAGTGTGCTTCTTTGCTCATGCGTTCACTCAGAGAATGTTGAGCGTCTGTTATGTAGACATCGCTGCTTTAGCTGCCGGACATCCAGCAGTGAACAAAGCACACTAAAAATACTTGTCTTCATTGAACGTACAGTCTAAGGACCAAGTTTCAGGGGCTTGGGGGATGGTAGGGACGGACAAGGAACAAATAAATAAAATCTATAGCATGTTTGATGGCAGGGTTGCTGGATTTAGCAAATGAAAATACAGGATGCCCAGCTAAATTTGAACTTCAGGTAAACAGTGAATTGTTTTTCAGTATAAGTATATTGCATGCCATATTTGGGATATACTTATGCTGAAAATACTTCTCTATTATGTGAAATGCAAATTTAACTGGGCAATCCTGTACTTTATCGGGCAACGCTATTTGAGGGAAATAAGGTTATGGGGAAAAATAAAGCAGGAAAAGGAATAGGAAATGGGGGGTGGGGGGTGAAACTGTAAATAGGGTTATTAGAAAGGGCTTCACTGAGGTGGTATTTGAGCAAAGACGAGACAGGTAATAGCAATAATCTAATGTATTCAAAGAACAGCGAGAGCATGGGAGAAGAATGAGAGGGAAACAGGTTGAGAAGTAATCCCAGGCCAGATCACCTAGGGCCTATGAAACCATCTAAGGACTAGAGCTTTTGTTTTGAAGGAGGTGGGAATCTACTTGCAGGTGGGACTGGTCTTTTTTTTTTAGAGAGAGGTTTTCACTTGTCACCCAGACTGTGAGTACAGTGGTGTAATCATAGCTCACTGCAGCCTGTAAAAAGACAAATAGGAATTTGTCTTTTTAAAGGCATCATACTGGGTGCTGTAGTGAGCACAACCCAAGTGGGGTTGGGAGAAAGGCAAGGAGGCCTTTAGAAGGCTTCTGCAGTCAAGGAGCCAAGAACCAGGGCCAGCTTGGACCAGGTGGCGATTAGCAGGTGGCGATAAGCAAGCAGAATCTAAATGCATGTTGAAGGTAACACCAAAAGCATTTGCTGTAGCCTGAGCAGCATAGTGAGACCCCATCTCTAGAAAAAATTTTGAAAAATTAGCCAGGAGTAGTGGCACATGCCTGTAGTCCCAGCTACTTGGGAGGCTGAGGCAGGAGGATCACTTGAGCCAGGAAGTTGAAACTGCAGTTAACCATGATCACACCACTGCACTCCAGCTTGGGTAACAGTATCAGATTCTGAAAGAAAGAGAGAAAAGAAGAAAGAGAGAAAGAGAGGAAAGGAGAAAGGGAGGAAGGGAGGGAGGGAGGAAAGAAGGAAGGAAGGATGGAGGGAGGAAGAAAAGACAGAGAAAAGAGAAGAGATAAGACAAAAGCAATTGCTAAAGGATTCAATGTGGGATGTAAGAGAAAAAGAGGAGTCAGAGATGACTTCCAAAATTTTGGTGTGAGAAGCTGGGAGAATGGAGTTGCCATTTACCTAAGTAGAAGAGCATTTACGAAGAATAGATGAGATGGTGTTTATAGTTTGGGAGTGTGAGGAGCAGAAAATCTTTTGATAGGTTAGGATTGAGAAGTTTATCAGGCATCCAAGTGGAGCTGTTGATTGCAATTTGAATATTGATGACTAGAGCTGAAGGAAGACTGATAACTGAGAGATCCCCCAGGATTGAATCTGTGCAGAAGAAAAAGTCCAAAGGATGTCCCCCCACCACCCCAGGGCGCGTTGCAGCATCTAGAGATCAGGGAGATGGGAAGGAAGGGCTGGAAAAATGGCATATGTGGAATAAAAATCCAAGTTAGGTTTTTAAAATCCTGTTCAGTCCTGGGTGAATATGATGCTGGAGAGAAGCGCGGCTTCATTTTTAGTTCTCCCGGTGAGCACCAGTGCCACGAGGGAGAGCAGCATCTCTGACGCTGACATCACCCATAACGTCCATTTTCATCATTCTACTCTGTCTTGTGTCTGCCTGTGTACTGCTTTACCTGATTACAATGTGATATTCCACAGCGAGGACTATGTCTTATTGATTCAGTTTGCATTTCCAGCCCCTAGCAGAGCACCAGGCACCGTAGAAGGCACTCAATAAACATTCATTGAATGGAAGCCTAATTATACCACTCTGAGACTTTGAGTTTATTATCCTACTATAGAGAAGCCTCCCTGGGGTGATCATGTAACTTATTGTCCAAATGAGATCCTTTTGAGAGTGAAAGGGAACACTGCAAATAATTTTACTGGGACACCAGTTGCAACGCAGAGCTGTTTTAGCAAAGGTGGGGCATGTAATCCCCCTAAGAATAGCTCTAATCAATGAGGCGTCCACGGCTGAATAGCCCGGCTACCAGGTAAATAACAATGGAAAAGTGTAGCGCATGGTGTGCTTTGCAGAGTAGGCCTCAATAATTATTGGTGGAACCTGAATCTAACTGTATCATATTCCCTTTGAAGGCCATGGACTCTTCCGTGTGACCCTGGGGGATAGGAATTCCTTGGATGACTCTGTCCACAGCAGTCCTGACATGTGTGCTTTTGCTGTGGTCTCCAAGGTCTTGAAACCTCTATGCAAGTGAAGTGCTATCTGCCTACCTGCTTTGCCTTCCCCACCCTCTGATTGGCAGCCTCCCATTGAGTGCAAGCCTGGGGAATCACAGATCTGCGGAAGCCTCCTCTAAAGCAGCCCCTCAGTCTCTGTACCCTTATCCCATTTCATTCTTCAAAGCACTTATCACTACGTGACATTTAGAGTATCTATTATTTGTTTGTGGTCGGCCCCTCTATTTCAAATGTGGACTCCTCTATAAGGGAATTAAGTCTGTCTTGATCTATTTCACCACTCTATCTCCTGACTCCTTTTGGTGTAGAAGCAGGCAGTCAATAAATATTTGTATGAATGAATGAATCAATCAATCAATGCTTGACATAGAATGCTTTTCTGGGAAAAGGAGGTCCTGTCTCTATTTTGTCTAAGATCTATGCCAGATATCCTCTTCATCATTGAAGAAATTTTAAGGTACTGTAGAGGAATAGAATGACATGGTTTCAGCTGTAATTTCTGTGCTGATTTGTGTATATGGTGATTATCTTTATGAAAGTCCCAAGGGAGCTAACCCCATCACTTTGGGATGCTGAGGCAGGAGGATCACTTGAGGCCAGGAGTTCTAGACCAACCTGGGCAATGTAGTAGGACCCCATCTCTACAAAAAAATTTTTTTTTAAGTAGCCGTGCGTGGTGGTGTGAACTTTTAGTCCCAGCCACTCCAG